GGCGGGCGCGTCCGCTCGGACTGGGCGGCACTTGTAGCGGACGCACACGTCCAGGAGGCCTGACAAAACACACGGGTCACATTTCCATCACCAAGACAAGCGATAAGAAATGAGAATGGTGTCTGCTTTCTGATGATGTATCAAGCATTGCGCTACACTCCTCATGACATCATTTTATTACTAATTGCATTTTTTTCTACAAATATGAATAGGTAGAGAGGACCCCCTGCCCCCTTTTATCTGTGCGCCAATAGACCAATCAGAGGCCAGTATTGTGCGTTCATGAACTCTAGCAAAAGCGGCAGTTACGCCTATCCTCCGTTATTGACGGAAAAAGTCCCTTTTTGCTGTTTGTGCTCAAAATATGACTTTGGAGCAATCCTGTGGCATATAGACAGGTCATTACAGCGCAGTACTTGCGTTACGGGGAGACGTCCATGACGCTACTCCACTGGCCTCAATGTACTTACTGATTTCGGCAGGACTTCGGGTCGTATTTTGTGGCCTCTTCCATAGAACACAAGTACACGCCGTACATTTGTGAAGGGTGAACCGCAAATACGTGGACAATTACCGTACGGACAAATACTTCATATTGAGTTGAAAGTGCAGACCAGAGGGCAGAGGCTGATGTGCCGCCAGGCCGTCCACTCTGGGGAGCAGCGGTAGCGAGAACAAGCGGGCCTCGTCGGGATGGCGCCCCTGCATGGTGACCATGGCGCACAGCTTGGACAAGGGCAGAATTCCTTTGGCCACCAGCTGGTCTCGCACATTGGGATAGTAATATCTGCGGGAAGGTCAGCAAACGCACGGGTGTCACGGTGCCCTCCGGCCAAGTTGCGGACCGACGTCTACCGACCTGCACCACACTTCAAAATGGACACCCCCTCCGCCACTTAGACCTTGGCTGGAAAGAGAGCTGAGCAGTAGCTTCTGAACGGGAACGCCTTGGGGAGCCAAGAGGGCGTGCGTCTCCGTGTGGCCAAATATGGGGTCGGGCACACACAGAGTGGTGGTGGTACGAAAAGGCTTCAAGTTGGTGTCTGTTCAGGGAGGAGACGCCACGTTGAGATTGAAACAGAGAAGCAGTGGTAGTAGAAAGGAGGGACAAAATGACCCGAAAATGTTTGAACACTAAAGTTGGATGCCGCTTACTATATTCGTCGAGGGTGGCGTCCGCATCAGCGCCTTCCTGGCAGGGGAAGGCGTACTGGATGTAACAGTCGGCCTCCCCCCACACTGTCGACTGCAGAGGAGTCAGGCCCGTCACCTTTTCCACCCTGATCACGAACACGTGCTCGATCATCGCTCGTGCCGGTGGTGTGGTGATCTGAAAGGGAGGGAGCGGGCACTTGAGACAGACACGGACGGTGAAATTGAATCAGGTCGCAAACTGGACCCTTCTCCCTGTTGAGAAAACGGAATCGCTGGCATCGATGACGACTTGACGCTTCTCCTCTACCGCTGTAGTTTGAATGGGTGATGCGTCAGTCGTAACGATGTTAAACGTCTTCACATGGAGACGGAACGTTGTCCACAATGTCCATTTCAAAAGGTAAGTTGAGGGAAAAGTAGACACGGTTGACATTCAGACATATGTCCATATTGGTCATTTCCTCCTTAAGGTTCCGCTGGATTATTTCAGATTCTTTTGAAAAGTAAATCAAAAAAAATAAACAAAACCGACTGCAGAAGTCACATGCCCCACTCCCAAATTTGCACTTTTTTTAGGGGGGGGGGGCTCTCTCTCTCTCTCTTTTTTTTTTAATTCGCTGCGAAACCTGCCAGATTGCCGTTTTCGTGCTCAGAATAAAAGCATTACTTTGGCGCCATTTGGTGGCTTCTTGCTGTGAAAGAAGTTTGTGGCAGTGAATGGAGACGTGGACACATTTATTTCCACATGGATAGTTGGAGCGGTAGTATTACCTTACCACCATTACGCAGCATCTGTACGGACTTACAAACCTTTCAAATTGGGATTGTCAATTTACTTGAGGTGTTTTGCTATTCTTGACTATATTAGCATTTGCAATGTGGTTGGACTCTGTCCATTCACTGTATTGCCATGGAAAAAGTGGTTTGACAGCGCAAGTTTCTTCAATTTCTTTTTCGTTTAAAATGCCTGGTGCAACTAAAGCTACAATGGTTTGGACAAATAAAAGGATGAGTCGCAAAAAAGAGCTCGTAGGAGTTGCATTTCGAACCTGATACCGAGTCCACCGGAAAGTTTTTCGTCCTGAAGCCAGTTCAGGTCAGCGGCGGCCACTCACGTTCTGCCACCCGGATATACGCTACGCGCCTGCTGTTTGCAAACATTATGCAACGACTCTCGGCTGACTCTGAACATCCAGTGACGAAAAGCACGAAAGCTGTCGAAACCTTGGCGGGCCTGCCGGGCTGGTGGTCGAGCAGGTGAAGCGGTCTGAGGGGCGGCCGGCCCGGCGCCTCGCCCTCCTCGTCTCTGGCGCGCTGCAGGGCGAGCACCTGCTCGCAGAGGCCCATGGCCAGCGTGACCCTGAGGCTTCCTCGGCAGCCGCCCGAGAACACGTCCACCACTGGCATGTAGCAGTCCACCCCTAAAACGGGATACTGCGCCCGCAGAAGGAGGTGGGCGATCTTTGGATCCCTGTGAGGAAAAAGGGTGGAGACTGGTAACCCTTTTCCACCCAAACAAACTTGGTGCTCGTGGGGCGCCACAGCCAGTGCAGTGCTTAGTGGGTGCTTAACGAGTTCTTCTGAAGAACGTGTTTGGTTTTCCACCGGTTAAGAGCCAAGTAAGAGCGACGTCATCGTATAGCATCCAAACGTCACTGCTTACGTCGACGTTTAGCCAAGAGTGCCTGTGCTATTAATGATCATAATAATGCACTGTTAGCATCTGCTAGGCAACTTAGCATAGCGTTGATTAAACTTGGACAGTAACAGTCAGGGTCATGCAATCGGCAAACGCTTCTGTCCTTCAGAATCAATGAAATGACGAGGCTGGCCACCAGTCTGCGATCGCGTGCTATCCGGGCATATCCGCCATCGTTCTCGGGGTGGGACAACAATTGTGCAGGAATTCACAACTTCTGTGTGTCCAAGGAGTCATTCCTCCACATCTGCGATCGTCATGATTAGCGCACCAGTTTCAAGCGCCAGAGCGAGAGCCAATTTCGGTGGTGGAAAAAGAAAGAACTGGTGCTCAGCTGGGCACTGGGCCGGAACTAGCGCTAGCGCAGTGGAAGAGGGCCATGAGTATCACTTCAATAAAGGCATCTCACCGAAATAAATGTCTCCTTTGTTTCACCAAGAGGGTAGTGGGGGAAAGTGATTGCAACTATCTCAGTTCAACGAAACTGGCGTTGACTCGTGGACATCCGTTTTGAAGAGTTAGCTTGAGCATTTTCATTGCCGCTGAGCAAAGCAAAAAGATGTAGCAGGTATAGTTCAGGCAGCGCCATCCGATACCGGTCGCAGCAGAAAGACTGCAGGTACGCTCATATCGAAAAGAAGTCAACTTGCCTGAAAGACATGTAGAACTGGTGGAGAGGCAGCTTGACGAGACCGAGCAGTGTCTCGTGGCCGGAGCCGCCCGTCTTCTGCCAAACTTCAATTACCATCACATTGTTCCTCATCCGCTCCAGTAAGTGTGCAGTCAAAGCCACGGGAGTTACCTGCAGGCAGCGGCGGGCAAACAGATGTGTGCAAATATTGAGTTACCCCCGACTCAAGTTTACTTTTTCAACTTTGTGGAATAAATGGCAATTGGCAAAAGTGGTGGTTGATCATAAATAGACACGAATTCGCTAAAAGCTCGTTTTCGTCGGCAGTCCCTGTGCCAGATGTGAGGAGACACCTGGGTACGGAGACCGAAGAGACAGAGCGTGAGGCATCGGACAAGACAGGCACCTCGGTTTTCAAATAAAGTCACATCCTACCTGGACAAAATGAAAGGAAGGATTGGCGCGTCCCCAGCTGACCGCAGACCTCGCCACCTCGTCACACCAGAAGAGCTTGCAGTTCAAGTACACGTTGATGGCCTGCGCCGGCCCACCGGTGAAGTTCTTGCCATCCGGCACCATCAGCAACGTGTGCAGCAGGACCTCGGGCTCTTCCACCGGCGCGGCGTGGCGCGCGGACGCAGGCGCTCCTACGCAGGGTTGAATGGCAAGGTTGAGGGAGAAGTCTTCCGACGAGCGAGCGGCGAGATCCTCCGAGCAAAAGTCGACGCATTGTGACGTGGTGCGGGAGCCCCTCTGAGGGCTGCGCGTAGGCCGTGATGGCAAGGCCTCTCTCTTTTCACACACGTCGATGCCTCCGTTGTCGGTGGAAAGTTCTAGCAGCACCTAGGATAAAGTGACGTGACGGCGCAATCATTTTTAGCGATGGTGGTGAGAACATGGATCAAGTTCAACATTGGTGAAAAGTTCATTCAAAGTTCATGCATCGGTGCATTGTTTTTCTTGCAATAAACTGTTATTTTGCAATCAAAGTGCCCTTTTTTGTGTCGTTACTTAGTAGGAAAGCATTGTTTTGGATATTGGAGGTATCAACAATTTTCCATAAGAGACGTATCGTATCTTACCCTGAGAAGACAGAGTTCCCGCGTCGCGCCCTCCACGTTGTGCACCGGCAACGTGAGCGACTGGCTGAGCTGCTGGCTCTGCAGCAGACTTCGCAGCGGATGAGCGGCCTCTCCGATGAAAACGGCCTGCGGCGACAACGGGTGAGGTCACCATTGTTCTTTTCTTTCTCTGCAGTGTGTCTGTCAAAGGCTAAATTCGAAGTTTCTCCCACTGTGCCATTTTCTGTGTTTGTGCAGCACGTTGAAGGAAAATAAACACTTGCTTTCTTCTATAAGGAGTAGACAACGTAACCAACAAACTGCAAATCCAATTGCTGCCATTTTGAGCATTTTAATTCCATGAAGAAAAATGTTCAAAAATGTCGTTTTTTTCAGATCTCATGATTGCTTCCAGAGCTGTATATTTTATACAATACAGATGGTATTGTTATTTACACAGTATGTTCGTAATTTGTTCTTGCGTCTGTGGAAAGGCATCATGGTCATGATTATTGGTTTTAGTAGCGGTATGAAAAACATGATCAACATTCTGTTGTCAGACACTCACTTTCTTTTGGTCATTTTTTCTGGCGTAAATTCGAAACAGGAGATCCGTTGCCCACCAGACTTCCACCGATGTTTTGCTGAAGTGGACGGGAAACACTGAGAGCCGATGGAAGCTCACCGCTTCAAAATAGACAACCAGAGGCATGTCAGAAAAGAAAATACACAAACAAGCACCTGCCGGCATGCCGTACCTCCTCCTGCGACGTTACTGGAAGCAGCTCTGGTCACCTCCACGCGTTGGCCGTGTCGACTGGAAGAGGAAGTCTTGGGGAACGTATACTCGACAAAATACGTGCTGCCAAAAGAAGGGAAAAAAAACTCATCAGTCTTAACTGATACGTTTGTATTGGGGTTGGAGGGGTGGGCTGTAACCGATTCATGGTACCGTATTTTCACGACCGTAAGGCGCACTAAAAGTCTTACATTTTCTCCAAAGTGGACGGGGTGCCTAATAATGCGGGTCGCCTCTACACTACGCCTCTTAATACGGTGCGCCGTATGGTCGTGAAAATACGGTATTTCATTTCATTCCAACAACAAATTTTGATCTGATATTCAAGAAAAGCGAGTGAGGAACGTGGTCACGGAACAAATTCAGCTGCGTTTTTGCCAACTTTGATCTGAAAATCGTCACCTACCACTTCTTTCTGCGTAACAGTGAAGGAGATTTGTTCGGGGTCTTCTCGGGCGGGGGGCTGGCGCAACACGCGGGCACGCTCATGGAGTCGACTGTCACTTTGGCCCATCGCATGAAACTCAGAAACGTCAGCTGCTCCTGACTCAGGGGGACGGCGGGATCCGGCAGGGCACCTCGAAGCTCTGAAACGACACTAGCCAAAAGTTGCAACAATGTTAAAAGACACATTTGTGTTTTCCGTTGCAACATCTGACCTCCGGAGGCATGCAGCAGCCTTACTTGTCGCTCGTCCCGGTCGCAGGCTGCCGCAGGTGTTTTTCGGTCTCGGATGAAGTCTTCCTCTGCTTCTCGCCGCCGCCCGCTGTCTCATCCGCTCTCAGATCTGACGTCTGAATCGCAATCACGTCTTACAACCACAGACTGAAAACGGCAACTCTGGCGTTGGTTTTTACACATCTGAACTACTGACGGGACTTTTGTAGAAGAGATTTTCCAGCAAGCTGTGATCATATTGTGGGTCGCCAAGCTCGCTGTCGCCACTCACGCTGCTGTGACTCGACAGAGACTCGGGGAAGGCGCCGCCGCCCTGCCACAAAGGTGGCGGGGATGTCTTCAGCCTGAAGAGAAGCAAAAGCATTTCGCTAGGGGGCCACAACTATGTTTGTAAATAGCTATGTGACGAGCGGCCGCCACCTTTGTGGAACTTGTGTGTGTGTGTGTGTGAGTGTGTGTGAGAAAGAGTTTTCCTCTCATTTGGGGGCATTTTTTTACCCTATTTTTGCGAGGCTATATGACACAAAAAGGTTCCAGAAAAAGGCCACACTACCCCCCCCCCCCCAACACATATATACAGTATTTCTCTTCCATATTTTTCATAATTCTCGGTGCGTTGGAAGTAGCCATTCCAACCACCATTAGCCTTTTCACAAATATAAATTTTGGGAAATCTTTTCACGTTGCTATTCAAACCATACTCAACAGGGGTTACCAAACTACGGCCCGGGGGCAATTTGCGGCCCATCATCCATTTTTCGGCGGACCGCGACATGACCAAAAAAAAAATAGAATGCTAAAAATGACATTTGGCATGAGGTCAGTTAACAAAGGTGAAGGTGGGACGAGTGAGAAGGGAAAGTGGACGAATCAGGAGGCCTTCAAAGAAAGCACTTAAACAGCAAGCGCATGCACCTGCCCAGGAGGAGGTCCACAGCTCTGTGGTCCATGTCAGGGGAACAACCGAGGCCGCAGTCGCCGACCCGGTCGTTGTCCGCGTGCCTGACATCTGAATCGAAGCGCAGGACATTTTCGAGGACAATTTCGGGGGCCCTGCTGACATGAGAAGAACAAGAAGAGCCGTTAAGGGAGCTGCAGCGCTAATGCTTACGGTATAAGTTGTTTTTGACGACCAGTTTTTTGCTATATGAGGGCTGGCCTGGTCCAGATCCTCCTCGAATAATGGTGGAAAGGAGCCTCAAAATTCCGCTTGGAATGCATCCTTTCACAAAAGCTCTTTTTCTCAGAATTGTTCTCAGAAATTAGACTTTTCAAGAAACTTACCAATGTTCAACTGCTGTTTACTAACGAGTAGTAAAAGGTCGATTTTTTTTTCCCCTGATAAAAAAAGAGGGTTAAAGCTTTCTTTTGGTATGTTCCATGACTGTAGCCGGAGAACTCAATTTTCTGTGGGCCTTCAGAATTTAGACAAAGGGTCAAAAATGGCTGGCCACACCCGAGTAATGTTGAGTTAGCTGTAATCGTCTACAATGTGCAAGTGCTTAAATAGTGATTTAGGAGTGAATGGTTGCAAATGCTGCAGTTTGACGCGAGCGCACCCTTGAAGCACTTGTCAGGTCACTCACATGGGAAGTGGTCTGACGTTGTCCCTCTGGAGAGGGAGTTGGAGGTCTTTGAGAACCGGGGCGGCGTCCACGTCGCTTTTCAGTGCTGACACCAACATAGCGTCCCGAAGTTTGTTGCCACGCTCCAAAATGACTGAGGCCAAGAGAACGGAGTCCATTAGTTGGACCGTGAGCAAGCGGCGAAGGGGCCACACTGAAACCAAACTGAGGTACTGGAGGCGGACCGCAAACGTTTCAAAAGATAAGTAGGATTACAACTTTTTGGTTCGCATCGAACTTGGCGTCATCTCATGTGCTTCGTTGTGCGGCCCCAATCTTCCTGGCGTAATTTCTTGGCTATCTCACGGATGCTCGCCGTCTCGCCTTTTATGACGCACCTGACAGGATGTCATTTCCAGGCTGATCCACATCGATTTGGCCGTTCGCTCGCAAGTTCAAGTTCTCCACTGACTCATCTTGCTCTGTCTGCGTGGTTTGGGAATAGGAGCGGTCTTTCCCTCTGAAATCAGAAATAGCATTAGCGTCTTTTGTTTTATTTTTTTTTCCCCAGGCGCGGATGTGAAAACAGTCCTTGGCAAACCTTGACGTGTTTCCGCCGCCGCTCACGTTCAATTTGTTGGCATCGGGAGGTGGAGGCTGGTCAAGCGTAGCCGGCGAGGCGACCTGAGGAACGTTGCTGCTCAAGTGGGTGGCGGGGCCGGAGAAGTGGAGCGTGTGGCACGCTGCGGCCAGAGGCTCCAAATGGAGCGAAACCTGCAAGCGGAGGCAGGCGGCACTGAGCTTTGCCCTGAACCCCAAACGGAGAACGCAAGCGACATGACCTGCGCCGAGGCCTTACAACACATTGCAAAAGTTTTATTCACCGCAGTCAACAGGACAATGACTTACGACCGATGAACCTCTGAAGTTGTTTTTCGTGGGAAATTTAACAATCAAGGCGCACAGAATTGAGTTGGAATCACCCCTGTGGACATGAACTCCTGACTGTAAATCCCCGAATGATTTTTTTCTTGTTTTCAAGAAAGATCTGACTTGAACTTCCCTAGAAAAACACAACCCTTTTCTTCATAAAAAATAAATTAGAATTTGAGAAAAATGTACGTTATTTTCTCACAGTACAACTTTTTACCAGAAATAGAACTTTTTCTTCTTGAAAAGCTTCTTGCTCAAAAACGTACAATTTTTCTTGAACAAAATGTGACTTTCCTGGGGGGGCTTTTTCCATGGGAAACTTGCTTACATGATTGCCTGTACAGTTTGTGCAGGTTTCGGTTTGACACCGACTTCTGCTATTTCTATTATTTCCTAAGGTGGGGAAATAGTGGAGGTGTCAGAAAGCGTAGGAGAGCACATCCGACCTCAGAGGTTACGCTGCAGCCTTCCATTCGTTTTGCCTGCAGACCGACGTTTAAGCCTTGGCAGAGGTGCGTGCCTCCACCTGTGACATCACAAAGTCTTTGCTGGTTTGTTACACGCCAAGCGATCCGTCATCGTCTCACCTCCAGCTGGCCGAGCTTCTTGGATGTAGGTGACACCAGGGTGTGAAATCCGGTGATAGGCTGCGACTGGGAGAGGCGGGAGATCTCTTGCACTTGAGCGCGCGCCACGGGAAGGTGATCTTGCTTGCTCAAAACCTCCAGCACCAAGTTGCCCATATCTGGTGAAAAGCCGAGAGCCGATATCGGCGGCGAAAAAGTGTCAATTGCGCGGCTTTAAAGTTGATGTTCCGACGTTATCCGTGAACAACCTAAAATGACCGGTTCTAAGGCAAATGAAGGTTCATGATGATGTAAGATTGATTTTAGCAAATGATTTGCAATACCAAATCATTTCGTAGCCGCGGTTTACCTGCCAGGTAGGCGGTGAGCTGCTTGGGGCCGCAGCGCACGGGGAAGCGGGCCGTGGTTTTGACGCTCCTGTGCGACGACGCCGCGTCATCCGGGGGGCTGAAGTGAGTACCATCCGACGACTCCCCCCACCAGCGCAGACGCACCCGCGTCGCCGGCGGAGGCCTGGGCACGCTCCAGAGCAGGCGGCTCACGGTCACGCGCAGGAAGCCGCGCAGCTCACCTTCCACTAGGGGGGGCAGGCTGGTGGAGGCCGGCACATCGCAAAGTGCTGCAAAAGAGTCAGCGTGGGAAATTTCAGCACACACCCGTGTATCTAGTGGGATCCAACTAGATCAGGGATGGCCAAACTTTTTTCCTCATGAGAATGCCGTGTCAGAAAAACGACTAATTGACAATGCAATTACAGTAACTGTATGAAACAATTCCATTGACCATGCATGACTAAGTGTGCAACGGACTTTAGACTTGATGGTGGACTATTTCAAAGTAGTTGTGCTTATTTCCAGTGTGCAAAAAAGCGGTGGTTATTTTGTTTCCAGCGCACAGCGTGAGTACGCCCTTTGTGAGTGCTATGGATGCCACCACTTGACGCCCTGTCACATCATTGATTCTCCATCCAACATTTATTCTTTCATCTTCCAAAAACTGCAACCCATTGTTGTTGTTGCTGAACACGTTAACCGGTGAAGACGGTTAGGGCTAGGTTACTCATTCGATAAAGCCTACCGTCAGTTCAAAGGTGTCATGACGTCATACAAACGATAATTAAACGATACGTGAACAAGGCAGGACATAGATGGTTATCATCCTAAAACAGAAGCCTGAACTGCTGTCATTGCAGCATTGTTATCGTTCTTACAACAACAACGAAACACCTGGACGAGACCAAAATTGAAAACATATTCTGTACAACAATACATATTGACCACCAGCCGGGCTGACAGCTTTTTGCGAACTTAGCAAGCTAGCCGGCTAACAAAAACAACACTTTACCTTTCTGCTTCGTGCCCCCGGCGGAGCCCTGTTTTCGGCTCTTCATGAGGCCATTCGGGGAATACGACGAGCGAAAGTGGCCAACGAGACGACACCGTCGGCCGCAAACATTATTCACTGATTAAGAAGTTTCAGACAAACACATCCTAGAGAGCACACAGACAAACTGTCCCGCGCCGAACTGTTGACCTCAACGCCAGTCCCGCCTCCGCTGCCGCCCTCTGAGGCATGACGGGAAATGTTGTTCACCACTGGCATTGACGGACATTTTGTTTCGTCACTGCTTGCATCATTTTCATCTTGCGGTTTGCTGTTTGACGAGATTCATTAATTTGATTTGATTTCAGACATTACAATTTAAGACATAGAACTCTTAGAAGCCCCACCCCCCCTTCTGCTGACACGCACTAAAGCATGACGGGAAATGTAGTTTACAAGTGACGGGGCAGACTTATGTGCCGACACCAGTAGATGGCGGAACTTAATTCAATAGTCGTTTGCTATGATATACAGTACTATACCTGTAATTCAACATAACAAAATATAATATAATATAATATAATATAATATAATATAATATAATATAATATAATATAATATAATATAATGTAATATAATCATAGAGGTGTGACGGAAAATGGCGATGACAAATGACAGTGAAAGGCAGCCATTTTGTGCGAACACCAGTAGATGGCAGCGCGTGTCTTTTCCTTCCCTGTCAAATTGAATTTAGTCTTCAACAGACAGCACGCTTGAATATTCAGCAATTGTATATGACAGCAGCACTGCCTCCGCTAATCACAGAAACGTGGTGGGAAAAGGAGTTCACCCGTGACTAGTGCCGCGCAACTATTTTGTGCCAACAGCAGCAGTTGCATTTGTTATCCATTAGTACTTGGTTTTATTTTTGTTAAGTGGGTAAAAAAAAACTTATTGATGAATTGTCAATGTCCTTAAAACAAGGAGGCTTTGCTCATATAAGAAAGAGTGTTTTCCCTTTAAGGTCAGTGTCATGTGTTTAAGGCATACCCTGGCGAAATGTCTCTCTTGCTTGGCAACAAATCCCCCTGCGGTGGTGTTTGTTTGGTTGCCTTAACAACGACAAGGCCTTTGCGAGATTTAAAGTTGAGGCAAGAATGATGAAATCCAATGCGGTTCCTATTTCATTTTTTTCCCCCTTTGCCTCGCCCCTCTTCACTTTTCACTCTTCCAGTTTCCTGTCACTCAAGCAGCACTGTGCATCCCAGAAACACACGCGTACTGTGTGCTCAGGGGCCCCACGGTGCCTCGGAGGCCATACCGACCGGTTTCACCTCTAACACATTGGAGGGGACACTCAAGGTTGGGCAGCCATTCAGTCAAAGAAACATGAAGTAGGCTATGAGAGGAAGGGAACAGTCATTGAAACAATGTGGGGGCGTTACGCGTGGTTTCATCAATAGAATGAGACGCTCTTTCACAGTCCTCACGTTGGCCTGAAATCAACAACCAGCAATTTGCTCTTTTCAATCATATTTTTTTTAGCTTCCATGCTGACTTTACAAAGGACATCCATCCCCAAATAGGAGCTCAATAGGGCAATGACTACAAATTATAATCAGAGGTGATCATTTTCCAATTTTGTCCAGTAACATCACATTTCTATTTTTATTTTTAATCGCCGTGCAGCATCACAAAATGGCCACATCTTCATTTTCATGCCGGGGCAAGTCTAGGCTATCGTGTTTGGGAATTTGACAGACCCTGCTACAGTTTCTGGGCCCTCGGTGGATAGAGGACATTTTTGTCAAATGTAGACTAAACCTTAGAAAGTGGTCTAAGTTGTGGCGCAGGTGGTGTAATGCGGTTTTGTTGGATTTGATCAAAACACAAGCAGACAGATTCTGGCCTCCGCTGATATGTGAGGTGGACGTAATCGTATATCATTCATAAGTATGACAACAGCGTGCAGTGAACCCTCAAAATCGGTCCATTAAAAAAAAAAAAAAAAAGTTTTGGAAAAAGAACTGATGCCAGAAGCGCGATCCCAAGATTCCATCAGCTTCACAGAACCAAACTACAACTACGTTCCTTTTTGCATTGTTTATTATGGCAACATGGAACATTTAGGCACAAGACTCTATCTCAGTGAGCTGTGCAGTGTTGATCTTGTAAATCAAACTTTGGCATGGCTGGCTGCCCGGAGACACCGCCAAGATCAGTTTGGACGTCTTTTTGCTGCAGGTGAAGCGTCTCGTACATGATTAGGTGAAACCAACGGTGTTGTCTGCTTCCTGTCCAGCTGCACAAACTGGCCAGTCGAGCAATCGGGTCGCCAGAGGTCCCCTGGAAGCAATGTTGGAGGCCAGAGCCCTGAAGTGGACCTTCATGCGCCTTCTCTCTCTGCTGTGTTCGCACTTGTCAGTCTGGCTCAGGCTCCTCCCCCGCCGCTTCACAATCGCAATTGCTCGTTTGAGTCCGGAGAGCCCGCCCAGCGCCTCACTCCTCAGGGTTCAAGCTGCAGCCGTGTCGGAACTCTTGGCCGTACTCGTGGATCCACTTATTGGCCACTGGAACAAAGAAAAGAGTAGTGGGAACAAAAAACAGGCTCTTCGGCGGCTTTTCACCATGTGTTTGACGCAGCAACAAAAACAATAGAAACGCTCATTTTTCGAGTCAAAATGTTCGCCGTGAATGTAATCAACACTTGGAAAGACCACCAGCTGGTCTTGTGTCACGGTAGGCGACTGGCCAGGTCTTTGATGCCGCTTTGGACACCAACTATTGTGGCGATCCTTTCCACAGTACTGCAATAAGTACTGGGAGTGACAAAAGCTTGCAACGCCTCCTTCCAACTAGCGTCTGTCCCAACCCACCTCCATCATACCTGGGTCCAAGATCTCGACAGTGACAAGTCTGAATTAGCCCTGGCTCCGATAGACGTGAAGTGTAGTCATAAAAACTTCATTGACGTCACTCTGGACACTCACCAGTACGCCTACAGGAAGAAAAGCTCCCCTGACCATGCCATCTCATCAGTGGTCCACACAATCCTCACCCACCCGCAAAGCAAGTACTTCCATGTCTACCTTCAGTGTCATCATCCCACGGACCCCGTGGTCCTGCGGTTGAGTCCTTCACCGGGCGAACCGGCTGCTGAACTTCCAGACCAACAGAGCACAGACTCTGAGAATCCACAAGACCGCCTGCTCCTCCATCCACCTCAGCACTGGCTCTCCCCAGGGCTGTGCGCTGAGCCCCCTCCTGTTTACATTACCGACCTTCGACCACTCTGTCTAATTCCCGAGCTGTTCGACGGTGAAGGTTTGGAGATAACGCAGCGCTAGTGAAACGCATCTCAAACGACGCAAAGTTCGAAGTCAGAGACCCCGGTTCTGGGGTGTTCCGCTTTCCGCTTACCCCATTTGTCGCCGATGAGGACGGGACAGCCGGCGTGCAGCGTGTCCTCGTCGCCGCTGCCGTTTCGATGCAGATTCCACCAGAAGATGGCAGAGTTCTGCGGGTCAAACAAAGCGCCGATTCATATGAGAACGGTCGGGCCTTGGCGGAGGTCCGCATTGCACCAACGATAACGTTTACCTTCACGACGGGAACGCTGAAGTTGCCGTAAATGAATGCCGTGGAGCCGCCCGCTTCCACAGAGCTGAGCTGCGTGATACAAACGCCGGCTTTATGTTTTCACCAGAGCCTCTTGAAGATTCAGCATGGGAATGACATGTGCTGGTGCCTTGAGATGTGAGTCCAATTTGTTCCGATATCAATAATCATCTTTCACCATTAATAGGACTGGAAATGCCATGATTCCTCCCTGGCCTTCCGTTTGGGTTCGGCTAGCATTTCCTTAGAGGGTTCGACAGGCATAACCACGGATGCTAACCATTAGCATGTTCATGGTGTTTGCCATTCTATCTTAGCATTAAGCTCCAGCCATTCGTGAGTCAAAGTTGTTTTTTTTTTTTTTAAATACACAATGTCTAAATCTCTTCGTTTTATCTTGAGCTTAACAGCAAAATTTAGCTTGGAGTGGTCACACAGCCTCTTTTTTGATGAATCGCGTCAACAACGTAGCACACGTCACACAGCTTTCAAACGTACGCGATGTTACGGAGAACTGGGCGGAGCGATCGTAGCTAGCGAGTTCTCTCTGAAAATGTGTCAAGAGAAGCTTCAGGACACATTGGACCTGCTTTATTTGCGTGTATTCCCATCAAGTCCCATTACGTTTTTATGGAAAGTTTCTGGACATTCTGTCCCAATACTCACATAAATCATGAAAGTAGCCACGCGATTGCCGGTGTTCAGCCGAAAGACGGGACTGGATGGCGACTGGTGGTATGAAAACAAAGAGTCAACCAAGACGAGCTCGTGAATGAACCATGGGGGGGATCTGTCACAACCGATATTTGACCGGTGGACGGCTTGCCATGTTATCGGGTTACAGGGTGCACAAAAGGGTTCAAACGAGAAGACTAAACACATTTCAGCCGAGCGTCGTGCAGTCGAGGAACCGGCGAGCAAGACTTACTGTGGCGTGATCAAAGTGAGCTTCGTAATGACCTCCGATGCCGTAATTGACAACTTGGAGGTACTCGCCAGAGGGGTGTGTCACGTTGAGACCCGTAACCGCGGCGATCCTGCGGTCCAGCTCGCCGACCACCGAGTGTGCCGAGTCCTTCAGCCACGCGCTGGAATGATGACCAACACATATCGAGAAGGTTTGATTGATGAATTTTGATTTGGAATCCTAAAATTGGTACCTTTCTGCCTCATCCTACAGTGAATAAACACCCATTTGATGTTCAATCAGTACCTCTTGCTGATGCGATAGTCTACCGTCGCTTGTTTCTCTCCAGAAGCCACCACGGATCTTTGCAACTTGACAGCAAGGACAGAAGAAAAAAAAAGAATATTCTGAACGACATCTGTTATAGTTGGCAAGCAGGCAGCAACCACAACAGACAACAAATTCCACGTGGCATCAGAAAGTGAAAAAAAACCTTTCCCCTCAAAATGGGTCACATCTCCTCCGAGTCCCATTAATGATAATTCATGGCTGAGAATTTCGCCGCGAGCCGCAGCTTGTGAGCATTAATGCCAGCGCGCTCCAGATGTCCCGCACCCGCTTTGTCATCTGCTGAAACGGACGCGTGGCGGTCAGTGAAAGATGGTGTCAGGTTCGGTGGTCATGGAAACAATTTGTCCCCTAATATAAACACATCATGCCACGTGAGAGCTGATCTGGCAGCATATTAGCAGGCCGTGTGTTAAAAAAAAAAAAAAGATGGAAACTCTCTCTCAGCAAGCCGGGCCAAAAGCTACAGCACTCATCGGAAAGCGCCTGTGGGAGCCCACCGGCGATTTGCCCCCGCAGGCTACTTGAGTGCTGTCCCAGTTTACATTGAGAGAAACAAGAATATCCACCCGGAAGAAAGTTGCCGCATCAGGAGCCAACAATCCCCCCAGCGCAAAGGGCTTTCTTGAACAAAAATGACTATTCAAGGATGGCACAAAACTGCTGAACAAAAACCAACATTAAGTGGCCAAAGCTCCTTTTGTGCTTTTGCTTCCACAAACATCATTCCTGCACATCATTCCAAATCCGTCCAAAAAAATGATTCGCCCCACTCACGTTGCAGCTTTGGACAGTTGAGGACAATGAGATCAAGACATGTCTGCCATCTAGTGGTGATTGGTGATATGACAACCCCCGTTTCATGAGGTGACCTTCACACGTTGTCGTGCGGTGAACTGCAAATTGGCCTTTTGATGGTAAATCATCAAATGTAATGTTTGGAATGTGAAAAAAGTCGACAAGAGAGAAATGTATTTCCTCAACCTGACAAGCTCCACTTGGACTGTCATCAACGCTGAGAAGCACCAAGAGTTTTTTTTTTTCCAACTTTGACTGGAAAGAGAGGAGAATTTGCAAATGCGCCAGGTCTTCCGTCACACTTGCGAAAAGCAGCGAGCCGCTTGCTGGACACCTTCACCTCATCTTCCCTCCCTAATTTGAAGCCCCGACGCTGGGCCGTGAGACTGAAAGCGAAGTTCTCCAATAGCCGTTCGGAAGCGTCGTGGGGACGGCACTTACTCGAGTCCGCGCCAGGTCCTTGATGCGCTGAGCCTCGTCGTCGGTGACGAAGCGGTGGAAGAGAACCACCAAAGGACGCAGACTCAGCACTTCGCGTTTGGCGGGCAGCAGCGTCAGTGCCGGGCTCCCGTTAGTGAAATAGTCACAGAACAAGGGAGCGCTTTTCAACGTCGGGGCCTGTTTGGAGAAACGCGCCAGACAACGTGAGTCGCCTCCTTGGGAGAAATTGCAGCAAAGCGGCGCACCACAATGGGCCGTTACGGCTCCCGTGAGGCCATTTTGGAAGGAAGGACTTTGGTCCTCCCAAACACAGGCCCATTTTTTTTTTTTCAATTGAAATTTTGAAAGATCGCTTTTGATGAAGTCTGATATTCTTCATGGTTTTGTGATTTGCAAAGGAGTCATTTGCAAGAATAAGATCTACAATTATTATTTTTTTTTGGTATCAAACCAAACAGTCCGATTTCCTGATGTTTTAGTTTTGTTTTTGGGTGGCCTTGGGTCTGTTTGGTCAAATGAGAGGATGTGGAGTGTTATTTTGGTGAGGGGGGGGTCAAGGAGCGTGCAAGAGTGCGCTGACTTGAGGTCCGGCTGCCTGGCACAGCCTCTCGTAGGCGTCCCTGGTCTTGACATGCTTGGCGGCGGGTCGGACCGGCGACGCGGGCGGCCCGGCCACCAGCAGCTTCTCGTACTTCTCCACGTTGCGCAAAACCCTTCTGTTCAGCGGATCTGCAAGATTGACACGGACGCCAAAGCGCATGTCATATCCGGTGGAGGGTGAGCACACGTCTCCGAAAGTGCGGGTGGTCTCGGGCTTTGGAGAGACATGACGGCATGCGGGCCCAAAAGCCTTGGCAAGGGAACTTCATTCCACCTTGCGTGAAAAACGCTTCGATTGACGATGTTTCCAAAGTTGCTAAAAGTTGCCCGAGCCCAAAAATTGCCCGAATTTTTTTTGGGTCCGTCGGTGACGAGTGCACATGCAATCTACGGAATAGGGCTGCATCCGAATCCATGCCGAGACTCGTCACCGTGATGCAGCAGCTCCCGTGACAGGCTGAGCGCGCGGGAGACGTTTCCAGTCTGAAAGCACAAAACTGGCTTAGCGCCGGCGTCCTTGCATCGAGCTCGCCCGCGTGCGTGCACGTGCGCGCTACTTTAAAATGAGAGAAGGCCAGGTGGTCCAGCGCGTCCTCCAGCGTGCCTTCGTTCTCGGGGCTCCGGCCGCCTCCCGGGCTCCTGAACCGCTCGACCGACTCCTGCAGCCATGCCACCGAGTGGTAGTAGTCCTCCTCATCGTAGGCCACCTGCGTCAACACACGGTGATGCGGAAACAAGCGTGTCTTTGTTGCCGCGGGCAAGCTCAGCATTGGGAAAACGGTCAGAGGACTGCGCATTTGCTGCATTCTGCCTGTGAAATTTTGCTTTCTGTGTGTGCGTGTTGGTGCATGCACACCTGTGGACTCATAGGAGTGGAAGAAGACATGAAGGTCTTCCCCTCCAAAAACGTGGCTAATGTCTTTTGCAGCCTGGCGCCAGGCACATGCTGAGCGTACGCTGACGTCGGAATGTATTGCGGCTCGATGGCCCGGCCACTCCCTGGGAGGAGAGCCTCTCTTCTTCCTCCGCTTACTTTGGATTCCGAGTGTCATGCTCTTTGGAATGCAGCTGACGGTTGTGAGCGTGCCCCGAATGTTTCATCCAGTCATGACTTTCTTTCAACAATTGAAGCTCCGATAAGTCACGGCTTATATTATCAGACGATGAAGCTCAGCAAAAATGTGGGGTTTTTTTTAGACTTGAACATCGACTTTAGACCGTGGATGCTATGATAAACGATGACTTCACGAGAAAACACGAAGCATGCGAAGGCACACGAGGCCGGCGGCAGGCGGGCGTACCTTCCCCACCAGAAAGCAGTCGTCTCCAGACAGCGGCGCGGCCACGGCCGACGTGTAGACGTCCGCCAGCCGGCCGCTTCCGCTGGCCCTACGGAAGCGGCCGGCGGCCAGGCTGGACACGTGCAGCGCGTACACGTCCTGCAGCCGCATCAGGCCCCGGGCCGCCCCCCGCACGTCCTCCGCTTTGGGCAGCTTGTCCGCTTCCTGCTCCAGACTCCGCCTGAGGGCTGAAGACCACGCTTGTGGGGACCTCGGTGTGTGTCTGCGCGAGAGTCTCTGTAGGTGTGAGCGTGTACTCGCAAGTGTCAGTCTGTGCGTGGGGGTGAAAGAGGCTCACGGTGTTGAATTTATTTTGTACGAGTGTGTGTAGTGTGACCGAGATCGTGCAGCGTATGTGTCAGTCAGTAGGTGTGAAAATTAGCGTGCGTGCACACGTGAGTGTCGATGTGCATGAGACTCAGTGTGCGTCAGTCAGTGTATGCCCGTGCGCCAACCTTGTGCGTTGTCTCGGGCTCCGTGGCTGTAGACGACGTTGAGCCAGTCGGCGTGCAGCCGCTTGATGAGCGTGAAGGCCAGCAGCGGGTTGGCCAGCCCGTCCGACGGGCCTCCGTACAGCTCGCTGTGAAGGCGCCACACTTTGCCGTAAAACCTGCAGAGGGGTCGCAGGGGAGTCAGCGTGAATATTTCCAGCATTCTTCCTCATAAGACCTCCTCTGACCTTTCCAGTGTGACGTCGCACCGACATGACTTTTCAGGAGACCCAAAAAAACAGCAGGTTTGTTCAGCATCAGAGAGCGGCAGCGAAATATTAAAAAATATTGTAAAAAAAAAAAAAAAAAAAAAAAAAAAGAAAACGAGTGTGTCAATGTGCAATTTTTACAGGTACCAAACTGCAAACATTCATTGCCTGCAGAATCAGCTTATTTTGTTGTCTGCGAATTCATACCATGTGTTTTGGGGTTAGGATAGTGGATATGCATTGAAAAATGTGATCAATAATGAAACAAATTAAGAGCATGCATTTTGTCCAAATTTCAAATCATTTTTTTGTGCTACATGTGGTTAGGAAGTGCTTGCTCCTATGTAACCCGCACGTACCACTGATGAAAAATTGTGGCCCGACCACACATGATTAATGCACTCATAGTAAATGTGTGAGATCAAAAAAGGACATTGTCAGTTTTCTTTTTTTTAACACGGTAATAAAGCTTCACACCAATTTCCTTTTCAACGTGGTTTTCCGTTTGTACCATGAAACCGGAAAGACAACTGAGTGATTTTTAAAAAAAATATTTGCTTTATTTTTCGTGACCGCGCCTGACTGATTACGTTTGAGGGCGCGTTGCGCATGCGCCTCCGTGGCCCGGTGCGGTCCTCACCGCCTGACATCTTGCAGCCTGTCCCACTCCTCGTCGATGTACGTCCTCAAGTGTCCGATGAGCTTCCTCTCCACGATGATGGCCTGCCTGACGTCCAGCAGCGACGTAAACATGTCGGCCGCGCACGTCGGGAGCAACGCGCACGCGCACAGGCAGGCCAGCTGCAGGCACCGCGCCAGCTTCATCTCCGGCAGTTTCGCACGTCCACGCCGCGGCCGAGCTGTCGGGATTTGGGAGAAGCCTTCCTCTTGCAGGAGTCTACACCCCCCCTCCCCCCACCCCCTCTCCATCTCGGGTGGGAGACCTTTCTCTCCCTGCCCTCATCGTTCACTTTGCAACTCGCACACGACTGAGCCCTCAGCGATTGCACGCCGTCGTTTTGCAGGCAAACCGACAGAAGCGGCTGTTTTTTTTTAAAACAAATATTCGAATAGAAACAGTCACAATCGATTTTCACCTGAAAATTTGAGGGAGCGACAAATCCCAAATCACTTTCGGGGTTGCTTCCGGAGCTTCACTGACGCCTTGTGGCCACGTGATGCACCGCAGCCAAATGAAAGTGAAGCCCGCATGAAATCCTCACTGACGCTTTTGGACAAGTCGTGGCATTTGGGGAGAAGTGCCGACAGCCCAAATACTTCTTTTGCTTTTTTTTTTTGTCAACCGGCAGCAGCTCGTGGTGAGAAGAAAGTGCGAACGCGCTAACGAGCGAAGAGCCACCCAGCCGCCGAGCAAACGTCCTGCTGTCATTTGCCCCGGCCTTCCATCAACCTGCGGCGCGCGCTCGCGTGTGTGCGTGCGCAGCAGGTTGATGGTTAACCGAGACATCGCCGTGAACAGCGCCAGCAAAGCAGTTGGAACCGCATTGAGCAAGGCAGCGTCAGGCTGCTTCCAGACCTCGGCCGACCTTGGGCCTGCCGCAAATTTGGCGAGTCCTCGCCAGGCATCTGCAATGTGTGTACGTGTGTGTGTGTGGGGGGGTGGGGGGGGCGCCAAGGCACAGGCACTTCTAGCACTGATGCCCAATGTGCCCCTTTGGCCCTTTTGGGGGGGTTTGCGTGAAAGTGATTTTGTCGCCTTTCAAAACTAAAGTTGAACAATCGATTCCAATGAAATGAAATGAAATGATGATTATTACGCTCCCCGCAGTGGTCTTTGGAAGCCAGGTGCCCACTGCACCAACGGCCCATCGGGAAACTTTGAAAAACTGATGGACTAAGCATCGACAGGAGAGGTCTTCGTCCCTCACCGGAATCGTCGCTAAACGGGTCAGGATCCGCGGACCTTCCCAATCGAGTTATTTGCCATGGAGAAAACACCAGGAGTTATCTTTTTGTCTGTTGGTGAGGGTCACTCAAGCACCGGATCCCTCTTCTGACACCAGTGCTTGTGGCAGTTTTCTCAATATTGCCGGAGCAATACATCTTGGTGGTGATGGGGGGGGCGGGGGGTGCCAAGGGAGAACCTTTTGACCCTTTCTAGTGTGGGTCAATTGGTGACAACAACCCTTCAGTCAATGTGTCGTACTTTTGAGTTTGTCCATTTGTGGGTTTTTTTGTGACACCAGTAAGAAAAAGGATTGATTTTTTTTTCCTTTGACTCGATGGCAATAATGAGCATGTCGTTCTTGTTGTTGTTGATGTCCCCCGAGCCTCCTGACGAAGCTTGGCTTCAGTCACTAATTGTCGGAGGAGCCGATCATTAACGTCACGGCCGGCGGGCTGTCATTGAGTAACCTCGAGTTGGCCCATTGTTTGCCAAACACGTTGAGCCTGGTCCCCCTGGGGGTGGGCGTCGCTGGCTTCTTATTTACGCAAGTCCTGCGTCACGCCCGGACGCCGCGTCCAAAACAAACTCTCAGAGCAAACACACGGCGGCCGGCGCGATCTTTACCAATCGGCCGACCAACTCGATTTTGGGCCGGGTGACGAAAGGCGGCCTAGCAAACAATCTCTCATGTTCGATTGCAAATGGGATGCATCGCGCATTTCAATGAGCGCGCAACCAAACAGCTTTTTGGAACAATCCTGCATATAAAAAAAAAAAAAAAAAAAAACTGAAGATGTTGCAACCCAGAATTGTCTCTCTGCAGAAGCCTGATAATTACCCTGATCATGTGTGGTCGTCGAGGACCTGGACGCCTCTGTTCAACTGTTCAATAAACACTGCCAAAGACCGAGCCTTTTGTGAAGTTGGTGCTCCTCGGAGCCCACTTCTGATGCCCAATTTTTGCAGGCAGGTGTTCCATCTTGCCATACAAAAACACCCCAAAAATGGTCAAAAGTAGAGCCGCCTCATGAGAATAACCGCTCTTGGAATGTCACATATATCCAGCCATCCATTATCCGATGTATGCATTGAGAGGTCAGGGCCACGAATCGAACCCCGGACGTCTGCACTGTGAGAGGGGGGCGGGGGGGACGAGTCGGCCACAGTACCTGGCGTCCTAAGAGCAACTCGAAAATTATGCCATGGCACGTAGACGCATGCACGTCGCCGTTCTCGGACATCAGACTCTGCAAGACGCACGTAGGGAGCCTCGGTGGACTTTTTTTTTTTTTTTTCTGGTGAGATAAGGCGAGAAAAGCGCATCAGCAGGCTGAGTCAACAGATCGATGACTTTTATTACGCAAGGTGACGTAGCCCCGCGGTTGCATAAATACCAGCGGCGGTGGCGTTACAGGAGCAAACTGGGAGTCTGAAGGCAAGAAGCTGCAGACAAGACAGAAAAAAAAAAAAGTCTTTTTGTGATTATTTGACCAAAATGCAGGCAGTGCGTTCGTGTTCAACATGTGCCGCCCGGGCCAGCGGACAACTTCTGGGCTCGCCACGAGAGTTTCCCAGAAAGAGAGGACCAGCAGGTGCACAACTGCTCAGGTACTTTTGTTTCCCCGGCTGTCTCTTTCATGCATGCTTGAAAAATGAGGATTCTTAGTTTAAAAAAAAAAAAAAACAACAACTTTATTCTTGAAAAATACAATGTTTATACTTAGAATTCATAGAAATACTCTTTGTTCATTTAGATAAATTGTTTCTATTGATATAACCACGATTCTGGAGAAAAACGAAAAATAATAATTTAAAAAAAAAAGTGTTTCTTTAAAATGATTTTCTGAGAGCATAACGATGATTTAGAATAGCAAACTTATATATAACTGTAATATATATATATATATTTTTTTTTTTTCAGAGGAAATATCCATAACAAAACGACTTCCATCTATCCAGCTATGTGACTAGCTAGCTAGCTCGCGAACTAGAAGCTAGCAATCGGTCTATTCAGCTAGCTAGCCAGGTAGCCAGCTATCAATCGATCTATCTACCCCCCACTTTTGTTTTTTTGAAGAGATATTCTCAAGAAATAGAGCAACTATTCTAAAAATAAAATAAAATAAAAAAAATTCTGTTTACATGACTTTGGACGACAGTACTTTGCATTAAAAAAATCATCTTTTGTTTAAAAAAATAGAACCATGAAAAAAATTAACAATAAGACTATGAGTCTTGAAAAGTATGACTTTTTTCCACAAATGTGACAAATGCTCTCGATTAAAAAAATATATTTCAATGTAATCCTACTTTAAAACCGCACCAAAGAAAATCATATTTTTTCTTAAGCCGTCACATTTTTTGAACAAAATAAAAAAAAAAAAAAAAAAATATATATTTCAATGTAATCCTACTTTAAAACCGCATTTTTTTCCCCAAAGAAAATCATATTTTTTCTGAAACTGTCACATTTTTTTTACAAAATAAAAAAAAAGAAAGACAAACAGTCTTCCTCATTTTTTGTGCGTGTGTTTTCTCCCGGCATCAGCGCTCCAGGCATCCTCTTCAGTGCCAGAGAGACAGCAAAGCGGAAGTTGGTGCACCAGCAAGCGTGTGCAAGCGCAAGGACGGCGCCTTTGAGTTCGAGCCACCTTGGCGCCGTCTCGTCCTTGCAAGTACGTCTCGTGGCCCTCAAAAAATGTTGCATCGAACACCTGCGCGCAACGCAGTATGAAAAATCTCGTGGCACATTTGCACGAACCACGATCTTCCATACACATCGAGTACAATTGGTGAACTTGGAAAAGGGGGTGTCGAACTAACCTTGACTATACGGGCGATATGTCGATATCGAGCAAAGGGAGGATTTTCATGCAAACGCGGCACTTGCACACTTGAGGCCACACTTGCGTGGCCTCTGCAAACTATGCAAATGTGGAGTCAACATATTGGACTAGCAAAACCCGTTCGAGCAAACTTGCAAACACGTTTGAACCTACTTGTAGGCTGAATGCTGAAAACGTAGCGTTTTTTTTCCCCCCCATGCGAAGGTATATTAACTTGCACGTGTGCATTATGGGGGGAAAAAAAATCCAAACAACGAAGATAATAAAACCATCAAAATGACTAATAAGCATCATTTACTCTATTGCTATGATGTTGGCAGAATGTAAAATAAAATAGCTTATGCATGTGCAAATCAATACCATATGGCATCACAAGGAGGGGGGGGGGAGCTTTGTTATTGTTGTTATGTTATTTGCATTAAACCTGCAAATACGTTCAAACACGTTTTCAAATACGTTCGATCGAGTTTACCGATCAAAAATCAGTTTACCCCACAAATATTTATTTATATAAGTATTTATATTGCACTTAATTGAACTGTGTTTTCTTAAAATAGCTTATGCATGTGCAAATCAATACCATATGGCATCACAAGTGGGGGGGGAAGCTTTGTTATTGTTGTTATGTTATTTGCATTAAACCTGCAAATACGTTCAAACACGCTTTCAAATACGTTCGAACGAGTTTACCGATCAAAAATCTGTTTACCCCACAAATGTGTTTGTTAACGCCATTCCGGAATGCTAATTGCAAATATTTCAACGTGTTTCCTGGCAGCAAGCGGAGCAACTGAGTCACGACGCCCTGATCGGAAGGGCGACGTCGCTGGTCGCCGACGGCACCAGCGCGCTCCTGTCGCAGAGCACCTTCGCCCTGGTCTACGCCCTCCGCGCCTACGCTAAGGTGACCACGCGCACCCTTCGCTTGGACGCCCCGATGCAAATTGATTTGTCGCCATTTTTCGACAAACAAATTGTCATTTCATGAGAATAAAATCAGAGTTCTTATTTAGTTATTTCGAAAAAATAAATAAAGACAGAACTTATTAAGACTAGTCACAATTTTGACAGACTAAAATTGGATTTGGGGGTGGGTGTTAAAAAAAATGCTTCCAGGGTGACACCATTTGATGATTTTTTTTCTTTTTCTTTTTCTTACAGGCTGTGCACGCCCGCATCACCCTGCAGAGACGTTTCCTGATCTCGCTGGGAAAAGTGAGCCCGGCCGAGGAGGACTCGCTCCAGCGGGCCATCTTGCAACAGAAGGCGCAGGTCACTTGAACTCTCGATAAACTCCGTGTACAATACCAATTCATCACATTTTAAAGTGACAGGATCTCACGGAGGAAAAAAAATTGCACTCTATAACCTTCATAATTGCGGCGATCAATAGAAAATACCAAACAGACAGCAGTGCATGCATAAGCCTTTGAGAGGCGGGGCCAAGTGAGGTGACGGCCGGGCTATGCGGCTATCTGACGTTCACATGGTGTCTCTGACAGGTCGGCCAGCATCTGGACGAATGCAAACGCTTCGAGAGCACCTGGCTCAAGGCCGTCGACTTGTGCCAACGGGCGGCGGAAGCGGCGTCCGCGTCTGGTGAGTGAAGCGGGACACGGCGTGTAAATTCAACAAATATTTTCGGCGGAGTGTACTAGCTCGCGCATTTGCTAGCGTGCCAAGTCACGTCATTTGAGCGTGACCGACACCGTTGGCGTCCAGGGTCGGAGCAGGCGTCCGTCACCTTGATGGCCAACGTCCGACTGGCGCGCTCGCACGCCCAGCCGGCCCGCGACGCGGCGGCGGCGGCGGACAAGAAGCTGGCCGAGACCAAAGTGGACGAGATCCAAAGGATGGCCGAGTACGCCGCCTCCCTGGAGGACGCCGACGAGCTGGAGATACACGAGGCTTACCTGAGAGAGGACTGAAGAGGACACGCCCCTCAGCTGCGTCCGCAGAGTTGCGATTCGGAAGCCGCACTCAACGACCGCTCGGCATTCACAAATTCACATGTTCATTTTATGTTATACTTTCACGTGGACAAAACTAGTGCTTTGCCACCAATTTGTGGCGTCAGGGAAACACAGTGAGTTGAGGACTTCCGTTGAGACAAAATGCCACCACCTCGCGGCATCTCGATGCCAAGTAACCAGGTTGAGGTGGGTTGAGGTGTTTCATTTAGATTATTCCCCCGCCCCCCAAAAAAAACAGTCGCATCTTGGTGTCAAGGAACTACCTGTAAGTGTGCTGAAATAGAGAAAAATCTTACTTTGGTGTCAGGCAGCTAAGTTGGAATGAGTTAAGGGACGGCACCAAACTTTGCTGCCTTCTAGTGGCATCTCGAGGTAATTGTAAACCTTTTCGTGGGGCGGCCACTGATTTGGTGTGCAGATCCGTCAATGTAATTCCCGGTTATTTATGGCTATTTATTTGATCAAGCGATAGGTTAGGGAGCAGATTGACAGTCCGGCTGGTGAAACAACACCTGCGGTTTTTGCTGATTTCTTGACTCAACATGGTGAGGACCATTCTGAAAATAGTACCCAGCCCTTTTTGGGGGGGATTCCTCAGCATTGCGGGGGACCGCAGCTGACTTTGGCCGAGTGGCGGGCTTACCCACCGCGCTGCGGCTTCTTCTCCTTCCGCCTTTTTAAAAAAAATGGTGTTCCAAGCGCACAATTGTCAACGTTTGCGAATGTTTGTTGGAGCGCAACACGTCTTGAGCATGATGAGAAGTATTTGTCTTTCTTCGATTACGTCATGCCGTCACCAGCCATCTGGAAATGAGAAATAAAAACCTTTTCAACTTGACGCGCTCACAAATCGCCTTTGCCTTTTTGTCATTTGCACGCAAGGCGTCCGTCAACAGTGAAAACAGAGAAACCAATTCAGGTGAGTAGTTCAATGTGCTGGTGAGATTTGAAGGTACGAAAGCAGGTCGAAATACTTTCCGGGGGGGGGGGGGCAAAAAGCGTATGCTCGGACAGACAAACGTGTTCATTTGGTGACGTTTCACTTGAAAGTCGGAAGTTGGGCACAAACGCATCCTTTAATTGGTATCGCTTTCTCTTTACATGAGGCTCCCTTCCATCATCATCAGTCTGACTCGAGTGTGCTGAAGAACATTTCGTCCCTGAGACTGCAGACCAAAAAGAGCGAAAAGAACTATTCGTTGATCAAAACATACAGAACCGATTGACCAACTGCAACACCGATTTGCGACGGCCTATCTATGACTAGAATAGCACAAATCATGTACAAAGTACACAAAAAGCTGCTGTGGCGACACCTCTCGGAGAGTTCTTCCTTCAGCGTTTCAGTTTGTTCAACGGACTGGAACGACAGTCCCAAAGTCGAGCGCCGGCAGCTGTTCAATGTCGCCCACTCGGCATCCGTTGCAGGCTGGTCGCCCCGGTAGGGCGATTCCGATTCTGCCGTCTGCGGCCCCTGCTCAAGGGTTCTCATTGTAAATAACCAGAATCATATTTTTGGGTCACAGCGCTCGGGATTTTAATTTGAAAATTGCGTATGGAATTGTCATTTCCTGTTTAGCGCGGTTGGCAAAGGGCTAACTTGACATCTGGAGGACCGCCGGAGTTTGTTACGGAGTCCCAGCAAACGTTCAGGCGGTGGTTCTTCACCTGGCTTCGATGAATCAGTCTGCCATGGAGGAGAAGACACACCCGACTCGACGTGTCAAGTATGTTTGCCAATTATTTGTATGTGTTGTGACATGTGTTTCAGCACTTGGTGTGATTCGGCCACGGTTATGCATATACTGTATGTTGCTCACATATAAACGGCAAAACCATCAGTAAAGTTTCTTTCCCCAGATTTTTATTTATTTATTTTTTTGGGGGGTGGGGGGGGTTGTTTGCGGTCAAGATCGTTCAGTTTGTCGACTGTGAGCACGCGGAGCCCTTTGAGACTCGTCTGCATGTGATCAAGGGCTGTTGGAAATTCATTTGACTTGGCTTGACTCACTCTGCCGCAATCCAGTTCGAAATGAGAGAGCGTCGCTATCCGAATAAAGGGTACGGGTGCCTCCAAACACTGAGCAAAGGTGCGTTCCCCTATTAGAGGTGTTAAGTTTGTGAAACAGTCCTGAACATGTCGTTCAAAAACAAAGCAAAGTACCCCCAAATGGCATAATGAAGGAATATGTAAGAAGCCGGAATAATTGCAGACATTTTTGGGGCAAAGTGTCTTTTTATTTTGTATTCATACACATGAACCGCACAAGCAACTGTGATAGTGTACATCCGATTGGAATCTGATTGATCGGCCAAGCATGTAAAACACACAAGGAATTCATTAACTTTCCCGGTGACAATTGGCCCAGCGGAGCACCGACAAAACAACGGCATACGGAACGGGAAGTGCCCCGATATCTTCCATGTGGAAACTAAACGAGAGGGAAGAGGAGAGGGCGAGGAGAGGAATGAAATGGTTTTCATTGTGCTCATCAGATTTCAACCGAGCGAGACAGAAGTGTCCCTTTCTGTTTGAAGATCACACGAAAGAAGAGGACGAAAAACTGGGGGGGAGATGGAATGCTGGGACAAAGATAAATGCGGTCAGTCCAAGTACAAGGAAGGATCAGACTTTTTACTAGATGAGCAGTTTTTGTGTGTGTGTTTTTTGGAAAAGAAATGACCCAGGCTATTATTTTGGAAGGGTGACGCGAGCCGGCCTGCCCCCCTTTGAGCACTCGGCTTTTGAAGCGTGGCGACGGAAATGCAGCTTTTGCCTTTTTTCCCTCCTCCAGTTCTTCCCGGAGAAACCGCCGAGCACGTACGACTTGAGCGCCTTGAAGAACATCTCGTCCCGGAGGCCGTAGACCAGAGGGCTCAGGCAGCGCGGGCTCAGAATCACGGTGACGTAGTTGAAGAGGCGCACAACCTGAAACGCGTCACGATCCACCCGCGCCAGGGCCTTCTCGATGGGGGGGAGCAGCAGGTACATCAGGCAGAGGAGCAGCTGGACGGCGTGAAGGCTCACCGTGCCGAGGCCTTTCCGGGATGCCGCTCGCTCCCGGGCCGACGCCGCCTTGGCCGCCTTCATGATGCGCACGTAGCAGAAGACGATGACGCCGCCGATGGCCAGGAAGTACGCCGCAAACATGCCCGACCTCAGGTGGTTGTGCCACGGGTAGGCCTCCAGGCTGTGGATGTCGCACATCAGCCGCCGCTCAAAGAAGTCTCTGCCCACCGAGGCGAAGACGGCCAAGAAGAAGACGGCGCCGGGGATGCAGCCGAGGCCGCCGATGAACGCCACGCCGCCCAGGGCTCGCTGCCCGGAGCAGAGCTCGGCGTGCCGCAGAGGCAGGCACACGGCCACGTAGCGTTCCAAAGTCATGGCGGTCAAAGTGCACGCCGTGGCCAGGTTGGAGAGGGCCAGGAGCAAGTAGACGGCCATGCAGAGCCACAGGCCGGTGGAGATGCCAAAGTAGTAGAAGAGCAGCAGCACGTCGCTGATGACCAGGAACCAGCAGTCGTTGAGCAGCATGTTGGCAAACAGGATGTAGCGCATGGACAACCTGAACTGGTCCCTGGACAACAGCGTGCCCAGCAGGAACAGGTTGATGGCGAGGAAGACGCCGATTAAAACTTGAAGGAGAATGCTGATGCTGTAGTAGGACAAGTTGCGTTGGAGCTCGGCGCCCGCCGGCGGCGAGTCGTTGCCGGCCATTCAACGAAGCGCAAAACCCATTCGCGAGCGGATGAGCAAAGTCCGCGCTTGGCAGGCGGGTCCGGCAAATTTGTAGCGCGCTTTACCTTCGTCATCGCCAATGAACGCGCGGCGCGGCGTCCGCGCTCGCCCAGGGGCGTAGCCGTTCTTTCAGAGGTGGGGAGGGAGGCAGGGAGGGCGAATTGCTTCGGCGTAAACAAGTCATCATCCTCTCTCCATAGTGACCAACAAACTAAATCGCCAAACTTGCAACCTCTGCTTGAGGAAACGGCGCCATGACAGTTAAACGTACCGTCCGAAACGTGTTGGAACGGCGAGGTCAATTCCTTCGTCCTTATTGAAGACAGTTGGGTTTCGGAAAAAAACAGAAACCTAAAGAGGCTGCAGAAAGGCCCTGTCATGGTTATGCGTGACGGTCGTGGACCCGAAAGCGGGGAGGCGGGAGAAGCAGGGTGGACTGAACCCAACGTATGGACGAAAACACTCACGGGGCACACTGAACAAACAAAGTCATGAAAAACGAACAAAAAGTAACAACAAAATATGCCACTATGACAAACAAAACAACGTGACGGCAACCCAAATATCCGACGCCGAGGCAGTCCTTGGCACAAAAAAAAAAAAAAAAAAAAAAAAAAACTTGTAACACGATGACCA